CGCGTTCCGCGCGCGCCTCAAAGAGCCATCAGACCACCACAGATGGGGCCCAATAGGGCCGATGCCGATTCGGAGTCGCGGAGAACCTAACGGGTAACCGGGGCTCCGGCTCAACGTGCAGGAGAAGGAACGGGGTGGTTTTTAGTCAGTAAGAGTCTGACACTCCCTCCCGCCTCACCCAGGCGGGAGCAGTCATTCGATTTTTCCCCCCTTAAAAAAAAAAAAAACCCGTTAGGTTCTCCGCGACTCCGATAAAAAAAAATACTTGGGGCGTGATCTACAATCGATACCAAATCTAAAAATATAGTTTTTAGAATTTTTGTCTGTTCGTCTGTATGTATGTCCGGGATGAACTCAAAAAGTGCAGCATGGATTTACTTCAAATCTTGCATGAATATTACTAACAGGTCGGGGCAACATATAGGCTACATATTATTACGCCATCACCTGCGGGGGAGGAGCTGTGAATCACTATTCCACGCGGATGAAGTCGTGGGCACAACTAGTATAATATAAATGCGAAAGTATAGGTGTATGTTTGTTCCTCGCAATAAGAGTATAGATGGCGAGGTGGTGGAAGGATAGAGGAAGAGAGGAGGAGGAGAAGAAGGATGAAGACGTTCCTTAACCGGGTATGTGACATCCACGGGTGCGGTGCCGTAGCGGTGCTAAACATATTCTACTTATAACCACTGCACCTGCTGCGGATCTCTACTCATGGACTGTGGATCCTAGTCGAGTATGTATATTTAGAAACACCCACGGCAATAGTTAGAGTGGAAAGTGGATCACATACACTTACTAACCTGCTGATTATCTCCAATGCTGGACTTTAGACCTTAGTCGGGTATGTGACACCCAGGGGAAGAGTAGCGCTGGAATATTTTCTAAGCTACTTATATATGTCGCGGAGAACCTAACGGGTAACCGGGACTCCGGCTCGACGTGCAAGAGAAGGAACGGGGTGGTTTTTAGTCAGTAAGAGTCTGACACTCCCTCTCGCCTCACCCGGGCGGGAGAAGTCATTCGATGATTTTCCCCCCTTAAAAAAAACTGACCTGCTGAGTATCTCTAGTGTAGTTAGGCGTGGCGGGTACAGTATGCGCCAGTAGAGCGTCCACTACTGCCAGGTTCCCCAATGTACAGGCGACGTACAGAGCGCTCTGCCCTGATACGTCGCGAGCGTTCACGTCAAAGGCGGCTGTCCATTGCCACTCGCCTGTAGGATCACTGTAAAAAAGCATAATATAAAAAAATAATAGGATAGTAGACAGGGTATGAAAATTAAAAATCTAATTAGTCCATCAGTTAGACTGCCTCACTGGCCGAGTGGTGCACATTACGGCACTTAAAGCCACTGTAATGTAACACCCACTGGTCACTATTTATGTTATGACCCGTGTAATGTAGGGGGTGAGCCTATTGCCATATATCGGGCACAGTTCCAGACTTCGTGCTACCACTGAGAAAAGCCCAGTAATACTTTTCCCGACCCGGGAATCGAACAAGAGACCCTTTGCCCGGCAGTCGCACTTGCGACCACTCGGCCAACGAGGTCGTAAGTCGCGGCCAATGCGTAAGTAATTTTATATTAATGTGCATAAAAACGCGTGCGTACGCATAAACACACGCACGCATACGTACACGGATACAAATATGCGTGTGTGTGTGTGTGTGTGGGTATAAGCGCTGCAGCGCAACCGATAGTAGTCTTACGGTGGCAGTGGACTTTTGACCTTTGACCGTACATACATACAGGTCAAAATGTTAACCTCCTTTTATCTCTTTGAAGTCGGTTAAAATAAATAAGTCCGTCAGCCATTTGAATTTTCACCATTTTCTTAAATTTTACTTTTGCATGGACGCAATTACAATAGTACTATCACTCCGGTCGAGCCGACCCAATCGTGTCGAAGCATGGCTGGCACGGAAGTCATATATAGATTTGTATAGAAAACTATAAATTAGACGCATTATATATTTGACCAATAAAAAATGTCGTGTATCAATTTTTTTTTTTTGCAAATCTGTCCCTTACAGATTAAACGAGCGCAAGCGAAGCTGTAGGCTAAAGTTAGTAAAACATAAAGCTTGACTTACGTATAAGTGGTAAGCACGGACTCAGGGTATGGGTACTCCAGTAGCAGCGTGACCAGCGCAGCGTGACCGCCGATACACGCCGCGTGTATAGGGAGCCATTTCTCAACAGTCTCTTGCTGGAACCAATTAAAAAAATGAACGAACGAGAATATAATAATAATAATAATAAACATTTATTTCAGAATTAATTCCATACACGACAGACAGACAATGCAAACTTATAAACTATTGTTGTAGCTACATTATTGTTAGTAACAGTATGAACTTATAAACTAGTGTTAGTACATATATTATACGAGCATGAGGCTCGCCGAACCCGGGGATGTCTACTTGACTGCATGCAGTCGTATCCACCGCCCCAAGATCGGAGAGTCCCACCTTTCAGCCAACGCTCCGAGAATGGTGTTGGGGCTGCCGCGAACCCGGCGAAGCATAGATGCGCATCTCTTACGCATGATGGTAGCGAAACTATCAACATCGGCGTCGGCAAACATGCCGGACGCGCTACAAAATCGCGGCAGCCCCATCAACACCCATAATAAATCAACACATAATAAATCAAATCAAATCAAATCATTTATTCATTTGCGAACATGGGTACAAAAAAAAGGTCTTATAAATACAAAATAGTGTCCAATAACCATATTCTACCTTAAAGGCATGCAAATTTAAAAGAAAGATACAATAATACATATTAGGCACCAATAAACTAGTATTTTACAAATGAGGTAACATTATATAAGCTTATCCTGTAAATATTCTGTGACAGAGTAATATGCTTTTTTCAGTAATGTCAGGTAATGATAGGTGATGAAAAATTGGAACAAGTGAATGAATTTGTGTATCTGGGATCACTATTTACGAGAGATGGAAAGTGTGACGGGGATATTGAAAGGAGAGTGAAAGCGGGAAATAGTGTTAATGGTGCTTTACACTCTGTCATGTCGAGTAAAATAATATCCAGCAAAGGTCGACTTGCTGTAATGCAGTGTGTATTGACACCAACGCTTATGTATGGTAGTGAATCATGGGTGTGGCAGAAGAAGCATGAAAGCAGGATTAATGCGGTGGAAATGAGAGCCCTAAGAAGTATGTGTGGACTAAAATTGAGTGATCGAGTGAAAAATAGTGTTATTAGAGAAAGGTGTGGATTGAAAGATGATGTAGTGACAAGGATTGAAAAGGGAATGTTACGCTGGTTTGGACATGTAGAAAGGATGGATGAAAGTAGAGTAACGAAAGAAGTATACAGAGCGGATATGAATGGGGCCGTCGGTAGAGGGCGCCCTAGACGGACATATAGTGACCAGATTGGCGATATATTAAAGAAGGGCCAAATTAAAAGTACCCTTAACCGACGAGCATGCATGAAAAGATTGATGACTGTTAATGAAGCGAAAGAGGTATGTAAGAATCGTAGTAATTGGCGTTCCTTAGTCTCTGCCTACCCCCATGGGAGACAGGCGTGAAGTTATGTATGTATGTATGTATGTA